TTAGGCATATTCCTGTATGCAGGGAACCGCATGTTCCAGCTTCCAAAATGGTCGCGTCCGCACTTCCGGTTAGCGCGAGTGCGTCAGACGTCACGTGTCCCGACGTGTTTCATCACTTCCTGGACTTTTACAAGGGAACCTATTTAAAAACCTATTTACTTGTTTCATTTAAGCAGCTGCATTCTTATATAGATGTATTTAGGCTTTTTTCTTGTGCACGTTGTCAGCACTGGAGTCTGTTCATTACTCTAGGTAAGGGTTCCTCAACCAGGCTTGGGTGGAACCCTAGGGTTCCTCCAGAGGTCACTAGGGGTTCCTTGAGCATCAGCAATTTTTGCCCCTCAGGTAAGTTCCCACTGACACCATTGATCTTTTTAGCAACCTAAAAGGGGCTAATTCTTCCCAATGACCACAAGTGTAAGGAGCATTCTTCCCAATGACCATCACACTGATGTATCATGAATTGTAGATATAGTCATATTTAGCAGGGGTTCCCTGAGACCGGAAAGTTATGTCAAGGGTTCCTCTGCATTGAAAAGGTTCAGAGAGGCTGCTCTAGGTAATGGATTTCTATGGGCATTGTAAGAAGACATTTAACAAAAGTTGAAAAGAACTATTTGTAAGAGGTTTTATGAAATTATAATTTTGTAATTGCTGGCATAAGAAAGGACACAGCATGATTCTCCTTAAGCAATAACAGCATTTTCTAAATTAGGCTAACCTATGCATTGCATGGAAGGTACAGTAAATAAATAATAATAGGGGCCTGCCAACATACCGAATATTATACCAGTTATAGGGTAGGTTTCTGTTCATTTTTTCGCTTCTGCTCTGATTCCTTGATGTACTACTCCAGGCTTGGTGCCAACAAGCTCTATACATCCTAAATAACACAAATACGTATATGCAAAAAAGGTCTATGCTAATATTATTATCCCTGCATGAGACCTGTATGACAAAAGCATTAAAGAAATCAGAATTAAGGAACAGTCTGTCAGGAAATATATTCTTACCAATCCTTAGCCTATATAGCCTTTTTACAAATAAAACAGTATATCAATCACACTGAGATAGCAGGCAACATACTGCACATATTACAGCCTATCTGTCATTTAATCTTAAAGGCATATTAAATGCTTGTAAGATTTGTTAATTTTTTGACACAAAATGAAAGGTATTCTCTGGGTCTATAGAGCAGACACCTCCGTAGATTGCAGTAGTGCAGCTCTTTTTTTACCACATTCCCTATTGTCTGCAATGTGGTGATCTAAAAAAACCTCTGTGATGTAGATGTAGAGCTACCCTCTTGAGGGCCACTGAGTATTTTTGGGTTCCCTGTCTGTTCTGAGCCCACTTTGGAAGTACAGCCCCTGCTGACACCACCATGAAACTTTGACCAGGAGGACTCCCTGGCTTTGAACCATAAAATAAACACACACACAGTTTAGGTTGAGTAAATATTCTAATTATATTGAGGTCATAAAATAAAGAGTGCAAGCACAACAAGAATGGCAGTAGATGTGCATAAAAGAAAAATTAAACACTCTAAAAGGTTAAAAAAAAGTAATAAAGCACACTATCACTTTAAGCAAACCCAAATGTCCTGCCAGTTCAGAATTTAAACATCAGTTCCAGTTATATCTCTCCCCAAGTGAGCTGAAGTGAACTATTAAGATGTCAGGATAACTCCCTTTTGGGTTCTGGTAACTGTGTTTAACTTTTGAGATGAATACTTTTGTTTTAAGCAGTAGTATCCCTTTTGTATCTCTTTAAAGAATGGTGAGAAATCTTCTGCACACTTGATGGAGCCCTACTTGGTGCACATTAAGGTTCAGGTTTCTCCTTGTGTAAGAGCAAGATTTCCTCAAGATGGTATAGTCACAGAAAGATTCCGCCTTTTTGAGTGATGTTGAAACTCTCTTTAACACAAAGGATGAAGAGAGAAGAACTGACTAAAATTCAAGAAAGGGGTAGAAGCAGACTTCAGCAGAGGTTGAGCCCCCTAAAGATGGTGAACTAGTCTTGTGAATCAGACTCCTTTGGATAAATGAGTGAAATCCTGTCTGCAGGGTGCGTGTGCTGTAGCCACAGTCCTGCGATTTCAGGATTTTAGTAAGACACTGAAGCAAAGGATGAAGACAAGAACTGACTAAAATTCAAGAAAGAGGCAGAATTTTAGTAAGACACTGAAGCAAAGGATCAAGACAAGAACTGACTAAACTGTGGTACAGAATGGGCTAGGTAGTCTGGGTCTCAGTGTGATAATCTGTGGTGTAAGGTGTACTGAACAGAACAACTGAAATTAACACAGTCACTTGCAATTTGTGATGATCTGGGTTTGTAGCATTTGCAGTGTAAGAGGTAGTCTGTCATTTGGGGGGGGGGGGGGGGGGGGGGGGCTGTGTTCTTTTGGTCTCTCTGTGAAGAAGTGATGCTGATGACAGCACTATGATCCACCTGCCCGCACGATTGACTGTCATGCTCGTCAGCAATACTAGCGGTCCGCTGTCCTTCTTTCTTTCTCCACAAAATGGCCTGATCCATCTTGGATCCCCGGAGTCCCAAACGGCCTTCTCCACATACACACACACTCGTCCTCTGCCTCTCACCATCTACTTCCTTCCTGTAAATTTCCTGGGCTTCTCAATAAACAGTATATGCTCATGCCCCTTTTCCATCTCTTCGAGGAAATGTAGTCTGTTCACTCCTTGTCGGAGTGCAGAAGTCCTGCTACCAGCATACAAGTTCAACAAGGCTTTTCTTCAATAGAGTCTGGATAACTGAACTTTAATTAATTAAATTAACATTCTGCAACCAGTATTAATGCAGTGTGTTACATAGAGGACCTTTTGCTTGCATCAGAATTGCTTGCCTCCCATAAACATCAATAGATAGGTAAAAGCATCTTGAAGCAGGTTAATGCAGCTTAGAAGGAGGTCAAATGCAATTCAGAAGGATATCAACTGTAGGAAAAATGCATCTGCCAATGAATCATGAATGATCTCAGAAGCATCTTTAACTGGTGTCAAATGAAAGCTGAATCCACCTGAATACACTTTGCATTTGCCCATTGACTTAAACTCAAAGCCTGTTGACACAAGTCCTCACCGCTGGCTCCTACAGTATATTACATACAGAAGGACTAATGTAGAATAGTGCTGAGAAGTTTCTCATGACTACTGAGCAGATTCACACCCTTCACAGAGTTTAAATGTGACTGGTGATACAGGACATAGGGAGAGAGGAATGTACATGACACAGGTAACTTTAGGAGGTGATTACTGAAACATGGCTGTAATGGATTACAGGGAACTCAGATTATGGTAAACTGGTTTTGTTGAAGTCCATACATGTATTCTAGCTAGCAACATCATATACGTTTATCAATATAAATGAAAACCCTCAGATCCCATACGGCTTCCTGAAAAAGTTCCTGTAAGGAAGCAGAAAAGATCTTATATACATCCTATCTATCAAAACAGCTATGACTAACTATCCCCTGATGATATGATGATGAATGCATGGAAATGAGAACACTGAATGGAGATTTTCCCAATGCAATATACCCCTGCAACTATTTCAAAAAGACATTGCTTTATGTTTGTTTAATTTTTCCTCCAGACTGCCCCTTGCCTTTATTCATGCCTAGGAGAGAATGATGCCGTTGCTCCTGTGGCCTCCTGAGATATCCTTTTCACATATTCCAGAAGGTTGCAGACACAATGACACACAGCAGCTGAAGGGCAGACCTAACTGCACAACATTTGGGGTAGCCGCAAAAAGAGACAGCCCATTCCCAATGAGGTAGGAAGAGAACATGGCAATGCAGGAGTGTGTGGCAGCTGAATGGTGGATTGCATCGCCAACACTGGATTTTCTAGGTGTGTAAATATCTTAGTTGACTAAAGCCCTGCAAGAAAGGTATACAAAAAAACACAGGGGAAGGACAGCAAAGTTCCTCGTTATTGCTTAATACAGGTGTACCTTGGTTTATGAATTTAATGTGTTCTCCGGGACGTTTCATATTGTGAACAATTCGTAAATGCGGTTTTCCATAGGAATGAACTGAAAACCAATTAATCTATTCCGAAGGTCAGAAAAAAGTACACCTTCACACTCGATGCCACGTGCTACCAACACACTCCAGCATGCATGGGGCCGGCGCTATAAACCTCCCAAGCGCAATTCATCCTGGGGAAACTTGCTTCGTATTGCAAAAAAAATTTGTAAATGCATTGCAAATAAATAATCTATTCCGGAGGTCAGAAAAAAGTAAAAAAAAAGTCTTATGTGTTCAAAACTCTTTCTAAAGTGTACTTTAAAGGCACAGGGCCGGCACTATAAACCTTCCAGGTGCAATTCATCCTGGGGAAACTTGCTTTGTATTGCGAAAAAAATTTGTAAACCGAGGCATTATTTTCAATGGATTTTCATTCATATACCAAAAATTACGTTAACTGAGGTGTTTGTAAACCGAGGTACACCTGTACTATCATAGAGCAGTCTATAAGGCTTAAAGCACAACTCCAATTTATAGTAAATAAAAAAGATCCATTCCCTAGTCCATCAAAAAAGAAAAGAAAAAAGCAGCATTCATTGCAGTACTCACCTAAGACTCTCCACTCCCTTCTGCAACTGCTGGTTTCTGGGTTGCATATTGCTCAACATCACTCAACCCACTTCCTTTGAACCATTGTGTAGCTCATCATTCCACCCTGGGCTCTCAATACAGTACCTGCGTGTATATGTGTGTGGTTGGGGGAGGTTTGATGCATTGTGAGCTTAGTTCACAACCTGCAGTTGGGCTTTAAATCCTACCACTTATCTGGTTGACTGAAGCAGAGTCCACACAGTAATGACTAAACATCATGCTTTCATTTACCGCAGTTTTAAAGAGTAACCAAATAATTATTTTAAGGGAGTTATGGGATATTCTTCTTTGTGCACCACCATAACTGTTTGCACTGCCTTGATGAAAAGCATTTCTGTTTGTCATTTACAGGAGCCCAGATGGAGACACACAGCCTTGGTGCTTCATCCAGAAGAATGGAATCCTCACCTGGGAACACTGTGACATTCCTCACTGCCATCGGCCTACAGGTACATTAAAACCAACAGGAAAAAAAAATCTTCTGGTGAAAGATATGGAGTTAACAAAATCCAATCCTTCTAAGATTACATGTGTAACCATAAAATAATGTAATCTTTATTACACTTTTTGGGAACAGTTTACTTAATTCCCCTACATCACACATTGTACCTTTAAAGCCAGAATGATGCCGCTCTAGGTGAATGACTGGCTCTCAAATGTTATGAACTGGAACTGGGTGCTGCACAGCTCATTTGTGAAATTCAGCAACATGCACAAATCCGGAATATTGCTGCACTCCTTGGTATCTTTATTGAAGCATTAAAATCACAGGTATGACAGGGACATTAAAAAGGTGATGCGTTTCACCCTGAATTTAGCACTTAGACCTCCAGGTACACATTGTACCTTATTTGAGACCAAATGTAGCTATGATCCAGAAATGCTGGAGGTCTAAATTAGCCTTTCTCAAACTTTTTACCCTGGAAGAACCCTCGTGAAAAAAATGTTAGGTCTCAGGGAAGCTCCAAAATAATTACCTGATCTAAAGCTCACAGTACATTAGTGCTATGTAATCAACGAGTTGTAAATATAATAATAAATGACATAATAAAAAATAAAATGTACCTCTTTAATGTGCAACTTGGAGTTGCTTCGGTGCACTGAGAAAACACAACATTTTCACTACATTTGTTGTGGAGCTCAGTGAAAAAAAATCCATTTGCTTTGGTGCTCAGTGATGTTGCTAAATTTGCTGAGGAGCACTGTGACAATACTAAATTTGTTGTGGATCCCTGTGACAATACTAAATGTGTTGTGGATCACTGTGACAATACTAAATTTGTTGTGGATCACTGTGACAATACTAAATTTGCTGAGGAGCACTGTGTCAATACTAAATTTGCTGAGGAGCACTGTGACAATACTAAATTTGTTGTGGATCCCTGTGACAATACTAAATTTGTTGTGGATCACTGTGACAATACTAAATTTGTTGTGGATCACTGTGACAATACTAAATTTGTTGTGGATCACTGTGACAACACTAAATTTGCTGAGGAGCACTGTGACAATACTAAATTTGCTGAGGAGCACTGTGTCAATACTAAATTTGCTGAGGAGCACTGTGACAATACTAAATTTGTTGTGGATCCCTGTGACAATACTACATTTGTTGTGGATCACTGTGCCAATACTAAATTTGTTGTGGATCACTGTGACAACACTAAATTTGTTGTGGATCCCTGTGACAATACTAAATTTGTTGTGGATCGCTGTGACAACACTAAATTTGCTGAGGAGCACTGTGACAATACTAAATTTGCTGAGGAGCACTGCGTCAATACTAAATTTGCTGAGGAGCACTGTGACAATACTAAATTTGTTGTGGATCCCTGTGACAATACTAAATTTGTTGTGGATCACTGTGCCAATACTAAATTTGTTGTGGATCACTGTGACAACACTAAATTTGCTGAGGAGCACTGTGACAATACTAAATTTGCTGAGGAGCACTGTGCCAATACTAAATTTGCTGAGGAGCACTGTGACAATACTAAATTTGCTGAGGAGCACTGTGACAATACTAAATTTGCTGAGGAGCACTGTGCCAATACTAAATTTGCTGAGGAGCACTGTGACAAATACTAAATTTGTTGTGATTCACTATGACAATACTAAATTTGTTGTGGATCACTGTGACAACACTAAATTTGCTGAGGAGCACTGTGACAATACTAAATTTGCTGAGGAGCACTGAGAAAACACAACATTTTACACTAATTTGTTGTGGAGCTCAGTGAAAAAAAATCCATTTGCTTTGGTGCTCAGTGATGTTACTAAATTTGCTGAGGAGCACTGTGACAATACTAAATTTGTTGTGGATCACTGTGACAATACTAAATGTGTTGTGGATCACTGTGACAATACTAAATTTGTTGTGGATCACTGTGACAACACTGTGAGGAGACTGTGACAATACTAAATTTGCTGAGGAGCACTGTGTCAATACTAAATTTGCTGAGGAGCACTGTGACAATACTAAATTTGTTGTGGATCCCTGTGACAATACTAAATTTGTTGTGGATCACTGTGACAATACTAAATTTGTTGTGGATCACTGTGACAATACTAAATTTGTTGTGGATCACTGTGACAACACTAAATTTTGCACTGTGGATACTAAATTTGCTGAGGCACACTGTGTCAATACTAAATTTGCTGAGGAGCACTGTGACAATACTAAATTTGTTGTGATTCACTGTGACAATACTAATTTGTTGTGGATCACTGTGCCAATACTAAATTTGTTGTGGATCACTGTGACAACACTAAATTTGTTGTGGATCCCTGTGACAATACATTTGTTGTGGATCGCTGTGTGACACTGTGACTACTAAATTTGCTGAGGAGCACTGTGACAATACTAAATTTGCTGAGGAGCACTGTGCCAATACTAAATTTGCTGAGGAGCACTGTGACAATACTAAATTTGTTGGATCCCTGTGACAATACTAAATTTGTTGTGGATCACTGTGACAATACTAAATTTGTTGTGGATCACTGTGACAACACTAAATTTGCTGAGGAGCACTGTGCCAATACTAAATTTGCTGAGGAGCACTGTGCCAATACTAAATTTGCTGAGGAGCACTGTGACAATACTAAATTTGCTGAGGAGCACTGTGTGACAATACTAAATTTGCTGAGGAGCACTGTGACAATACTAAATTTGTTGTGATTCACTATGACAATACTAAATTTGTTGTGGATCACTGTGACAACACTAAATTTGCTGAGGAGCACTGTGCCAATACTAAATTTGCTGAGGAGCACTGTGCCAATACTAAATTTGCTGAGGAGCACTGTGACAATACTAAATTTGTTGTGGATCCCTGTGACAACACTAAATTTGCTGAGGAGCACTGTGACAATACTAAATTTGCTGAGGAGCACTGTGCCAATACTAAATTTGCTGAGGAGCACTGTGACAATACTAAATTTGTTGTGGATCACTGTGACAACACTGAATTTGTTGTGGATCACTGTGACAATACTAAATTTGTTTGGTGTGGATCACTGTGACACTGCATTTGCTGAGGAGCACTGTGACAACACTAAATTTGCTGAGGAGTACTGTGACAATGCATCTGAGATACAGTATGGTGCATGACGTCACCACTGTGAGCTGGCAGTACGGGATGAGAGGAGTGGCTCTCTCATGAACATTGCTGTAATAGACAGCATCATGGTTTGCAGAGTTTTCTCTTTTCGAAGATAATTTAACATTGTAATCCAACTCTTTATAAAAGCTGAGAGCTGCATTTGTCAATGAACTTTGTCTAGTGGTTGTACTATTTACATTTGATGGTGTTTTCCTTTCTCTCTAGTTCTTCAGTCCTCTTCTTTTTGCCACTTTGGTGTATTGATGATTCAACACACAGCTAGCAGGGTAAAAATGAAATCATCATTTGTCCCTTAGCATCAAAGCAAACATAATGTTGGCACTGTGCACTAAAGCTAATTTTGTGTTGTCACTGTGCTCCACAGCAAATTTGGTGTCATCAATGTTCTCCACAGCAAATTTGGTGTCATCAGTGTTTTTGATTAATTAATGTTTTTATTGATTTAGAATTTTCTTGCAATTTAATTTTTCTTCTTTATGATTATATTATTTATTATCATGTTAACATTTCTTCATTATTATATATATATATAAATTATAATTAAAAGGGTTTTTTGTTTATATATGGAATTGCATGACATGCTGTATGATGCAATTTAGATTGAGTATTGTATCACCCAACCTGCATCTGAGTAGTTTTTTTTTAAAGTTATTCTAAATGAATAAAAAAAATGCTTACCTAGTTTTGCACAGAGCAACCCCGATCCTCCTCTTCTGAGGCCCCCCAATGCTTCTGGCTCCTCCCACTCAGAGGGCTGAGTGCTCCCATAGCCAACCGTTTTCTATAAAAACACTTATGTGGGTTGAATCTCGAACCCGTTGACAAACACAGTATGGCGCGGCCCCACCCCCACTCTCTCCTTACTGGGTGGAATTGACAGAAGCTGGAGCCAATGGCTCCTTCTGCTGACTTGATCTCCAGTGAGGAGAGGAAGTGGAGAGAGCCTCTGCTCTCGGGCACAGGGTTGGCTCATGATCAGGCTCAGGTAAGTATAAAGTGGGGCTGGAAGGGGGGGGGGGGGGGGGTGTGGAGCTGCACACAGAAGGTGCAGAGAATGCATTAAGGTAAAAATCCTCTAAACTTTAGAACCACTTTAAGCCCGTATTTAATAACTACATTTTGGGGTTGCTAGAGAACATTTTTAAGCTGGATCTCACACACACTGCCTGATAGTCCTCTTGTAGAAATCATCATTATGATGAAACGTGTGGGATGTGAGCCAGACAGTGTGTGAAGGAAGCCAACAGAGTGGCTGATCCAGGAGCGCCATTTGTACATACACTGCATGGCCAGCTGTGTCTGCAGAACTTGCAGAAGCAGTAAGCAACCACAGCAGTCTTTACAGGCTCCTATTGCAGGAGAAATGTTTTTTGTTGTTTAACAACATGATAGTATCAATAGCGGCTTTGGGTTAATGATGCTTACAAACAACAGCACTTTCATTAAATTATTAATTAGAACTTTACTAACATCATAACATTCCTGCATATTGCAATTTTATCATATAACCCAGCCTTTCTCAACCTTTTCAATGCAGAGGAACCCTTGGCATAACTTTCCGGTCTCAGGGAACCCCTGCTAAAATGACTATATCTTCAATTCATGATACATTAGTGTGATAGTCAGAGGTAAGAATGCTCCTTACACTTGTGGTCATTGGGAAGAATTACCCCCTTACAGATTTCTAAAAAGATCAATAATGTCAGTGGGAACTTAAATGAGATGCAGAAATTGCTCATTGCTCAAGGAACCCCTGGCAACCTCTGGAGGATCCCTAGGGTGCCACGGAACCCGGGTTGAGAAACCCTGATAGAAACAGTTATACTGATACTTAGATTAGCCAATACAGATTATGAAGTTATGACCTTATACTTATTTGCTATCTTTTTTTATAATTCCTTTATTTTAATAAAGTTTCAACACAGAACAGATATGGGTACAGAAGCACATTGCAGTGTATCATAACATAGTATTACACAAAAAAACACATGTCAGATAAGTAACATCATCAGCCCAGGCAAAACTAAGAGCAAGTTCATTGAGCAGCAAGGTAGCGAAACCTAGGCTGCGGATGGTATAAGAACAATGCCACAGTAAGTAATGGCAAATGGCTTTGAATCATGTAAGGGGTCTGGATATGCTGGGAATACTAGAGCAGTGGCGGAGAAAGAATCAGCATACATATCAACAGTAATAAAGCATTTTCTCATAAACAAACCAAACATAGGTAAAACAACTGAGTTATCAGGTCGCCTCTCAACACCCCTGGAACCATTCAGAAGTAGGTAATCCCACAAGAACAGTTGAAACAGTATAACTGTGTGATCATTCTTCCGAGGACGCCGGGGTGTTCCGGGAAGCTGGAGCAGCAGAGTTGTGAAAGCGTGATCTGCGGGACCTTTGTAGCCTTGATTGAGGAGGGTTCTGCGCTTCTTCCCAAAGAAGAGAGTCCTGCCAGTTTGGCATGGTGATCGCTGGACAGTCTAGGAACTGGAACAATGCTGGAAGCTGATCAGGCGAGCGCAGGTGGTATGAAGAGCCTTGATGTTGAATGACCAAGTGGAAAGGATGCCCCCAACAGTAGGTCACCCCAGCTTCCCTGATAACCTCTAGAAGGGGCCGCAACAGATCACACATCATGCAAGTCTGTCGGGAGATGTCTGGATAGATTTGAACCTCAGCACCATCAAAATTAAAGGCTCCTCTGGACCAGACCCTATGAGGAATCTCCTCCTTAATGCACTAGAAATGTACCCGACATAGGACATCCCGTGGAGGTGGCAGAGTTGTAGGATTTGCATTTGTAAAATAAGGGGGAAGTGGGCCCTGGACCCGGTGCACCCGATCTAGTTCAAGTTCCGCAGTAGGTGGTTTGTTCAAAATTGGTTGAGGATGGCAATCACCGTGGAACGGAGGTCCGGTCAGTCATTGCTTCAGGGAAACCCCGGAGGCGAATGTTTTTCCGCCGATTCCTATTTTCATCATTGTCGATTCTGAGCTGAATGTTAATGAGATGGCGGTAAAAGTTAATCTGACCCGCCTCCAGCTCCACTAGAGAGTTGTCTGCCTGGGAATCAGAAGTTTCCAAAGTGTGTACCTTCTCCTCAACCGTGTCCACCTGTTGTTTCAAGTCGTGGAGCTCTCTGCAAAGTGCCGCCACTATAGAGGAGGTCATAGTTTGTATATCTTCTCTGGTAGGTAGATCAGCAATAAGGTCCCAGAGCTCCCCATCCTGTCAGGTGCCCAAGGAGGGAGAAAAAGATGGGCCCGTGGGTGAGTCTGCCCGAGGGAGCTTGGTTTCAAGATAGGTGAGACCGGGTGCAGGATAGAGGGTTCGGCCTGTGTGTGTGGCGCAGGATGCTTCTTTGGACCAGAGGGTCCCGCCATGCTGGCCCTCGGCAGCGCCCTTTTGGGCAGGGGAGGTTGCATGTTGTCGGAGAAAAAAATAGTGAGCAATCTCTGTTGCCTCAACTCACCGGCAGCAGGTGTCAGATTCCACTCCCCCAGCATCTAAAGTGGATCGCTGGAATGGCTAGGCTGTCGGACTCAGGGTTTGGGTCTCACAGAGCTCTAACTAGTGCGTGTTCACACTGCCATGACCAAGCCACGTCCCCCCTTCTTTGCTAACTTGATTTTTGGATAGGTACTGTAGTCCCAGGTTGACTCATAACTTGACAATGCAACTTTCAATATCTTTTTTCCTTTGTGTAAATTTTTGTGTGGAGTGCTTTACAGTATATCCATATAATGAGGTTTGTAATATTGTTTTTTAAGTCTACTAGTCTCTTTTATACTCTCATAATACTCCCTGATAATGACTAAAATTAGTTTTGCTTAACATGTGTAAACAATCTTTCATGGGTTTATTCGCCATTTTACTGTTACAGGAATAAGTGATCTGTAAGTGGTTTGTTGATAACTGAACATATTCTTTACACCATCCTTTTTAATAATAGTACATTTGTTTTTTTTTTTTCAGCCAGTCCAACAAAGCCATCAGTTCCACCACGACCGACAACCAGCAAACCTCAGACACAAACCAAAAAACCTCCACTACCGACAAAAGCATCTAGTCATCCTGTTAAAACCACGGCTCTTCCTACCAGTACAGCAGTTAGTAGAGATGTCAATCGGGCAGTTCCTGGAGACTGTGGACAGAGGTTCTTAAAAAGCCCTTCTATAACCTCACGTATTGTAGGAGGACTGGTGGCACTGCCTGCTTCTCATCCATATATGGCAGCCATCTATATGGGAGAACAGTTTTGCGGTGGATCCCTGATCTCCTCCTGCTGGGTTGTGACTGCTGCTCATTGCTTAGATGACAAGTAAGGACTATGCTTTACACACATCACTTTTATCTATTTTTTTGTTTTGAAAAGCCTACGTAAAAGTACTGTACCAGTTTGAAGACAGTAGAGATTTTCATTTCTGGTTTTAATTTATACATGGAGCTGTAAACAACAGTTAAACTGATTCCAATATATAGATCCTCCAATGTGAAGCTGTTTCAAAGACGAATTGTCCCCGAGTCACCACACCTATTTTTATCTGCCATGCTTCTTTTTAACCAAAGTTAAATTAACCAGAATTGTACCTTCATACCAAAAGGCTTAGGTATACATAAAACCATCATGTCTTCTTTGTGGCAGCAATATATTTTTTTAGTCATAGTAGCATATTCTAAACAAATTCCTGAAAATGCTGAAAAATCTTTTGAAGTGATAGTAAACCCACCTTGGTTCATTTTTACCCACAGGTAAGCTTATAATAAAGCTGTAGGTAAAATGAACATCTCCTAAATCTGCACCGTTTAGGAGATAATTTTTAGTTGGCATATGCACTCTGAAGGAATGTCATACCCGTGTTGTTCCTTCAGAGCAGTGTGCCGTGGCCCGTGACTCCTGTGAGCATGCGCAGGAGTCACGTCACATCGTGGCTCAGCCAGTCAGATGGCCGGAGCTTGCGAATCCAAAAGGAAGATTGGGTGAAGATGAAAGCCTTTACAACAGTGACAGCATGCCGCTGGAGAACTTCGTTTTAAGATGAGTTTCATATGTGATGCATACTAGCACATTATGCCATTGCCTTGCACTGAGTGCATTTTGGGTTTTTTTGATGCGATTTACTACCTCTTAAAAAGGGCTGAGATAGTGTGCAGAGACTCTAATTCCCTATTGCACATGATGTAGAGAATCTTGAACCTCATCTAGCCTTAAAGGTCTGAAAGCTGGCCATAGATTGATAGAGTTTCAAATGAAACTTCTTAGGAAAGGTCTTATGAAAATTTGTACAAACATTCACAGAACATTTATTTGTTTGCTTTTAACATTTGATTTTGGAATGAATGGACCACATGCACTATTAGAAGTTAGTTCGTTCTAGAAAAATTTTGCAACCTGCTCCTTTGAATTTTCTTGTCACTGCAAGTTGATAGCAAATGTCGATATGACCCACCAATGAATAAAGAAATCCAACAAACTTTCTTAGAATCTTCCCAAGATTTTTTGTTCAAAATTCTACCTATCTATGGCCAGCGTTAGATCTTCTCAATGCTATATGGAAGGCCAAGCGTGTGCTCTATTGTTCTTCTGTCAGGCATTATTAGCTTAAGCATGCACTGTTTTTTTCAGGCCAAGCGTGAAGACAATCACTGTGGTGTTGGGACAAACTCTATTCAACACTACAGACCACCGTACAGTAAAATTTTCAGTGAAAAAATACATTCTTCATGAACTATATTCTGATGTGACTTTCCAAAATGATATAGGTAATGTATGCACATGCTGGATCATTTCTTCCGAACGTTCAAAGTGTATACTAAGCAGAAGGCAAGCCATATCTTGTTGAATTTAGTTAATGGTTCTTAGAGAACGATGTCCATCTTCAGATCACATAAACACAACAGGTTTTTCTGGCTGAGCTTCATGCACTCTGAATTGAATTGAATTTAGCTCAAAGTATATGTAAACCATGTCAACTTCTTTTTTTTTTTTGCTCCCTTTTGGTCTGTTAAATATACCATTGAAAAAAATATAGTGAGCCCCTAACTTCCTGCAATGAGCTGAAAGTGCTGCACTACAATTTAAACAATATTATCAACCCTTCTCATTTCAACTTTGTGAACCTTAGAACACCTTACCCTCTGTTGTTAGGATTAGAAGAGGAGGAGGTGTTCTGTAGTCCAGCACACACTTCCTGTCTTAAGTTGACCATGTTGCTTCTTCATAGATTCAGTACAGGGAGTGAATGCTGTCACCCTATGAAAGGAAGTATGTTATTGCCAGGACCACAAGGGGAAAATAAAGAAAAACAATGCTTAAAAAAGAAAAAAAAAAAAACAAAACAAAAAAACAAACGAAGCCACTGTATCAAAGACTGGTAAGCAGAAATATGTGACATGTTTTTGGTCTTGGGTTAAAGCAGAGTTCCACCCAAAAGGGGAAGTTCCGCTTTAAAGTTTGGTCCCCCGCCCCCCATTAAGGATTGGCACCTTTGGGGAGATGGTACCTGAAATTGATAGGTACCCACTTCCGCTGCGATCACCCAGGTGATCGGAAGCGGAAGTTGTCCACCTAACTTCCCTCCCCGTAGTCTTGTGGGACACGTGACAGGTCCCAGAAGATGACGAGGCCATTCATGAAGCGCAGCGCTACTCGCGCATGCGCAGTGGGCACCTGGCTGTGAAGCTGCAAGCTTGTCAAGGTCCTACCTTTTCCCTGAGGTTATGTTACTCCATGTGCTGGCGTCCATCTTGGATTCTGCTGTGCATGATGGGAATCCTTTTATGCCTTCAGGTCTCTGTGGTCCATCCCCCAGAGGGGTGTGGCTGATGACATATAAGCCTGTGGCCCGCACATGCTCTTTGCACTTGTGTCTTGTGTCTTTGTGTTGCTATTACTCTGTTCTGACTCTCGTGACTCTCCTGGTATCTGATTCGGCTTGTGACTTGACTATTCTTTGTATTCTCCCTTGATCTGACCCTCTGTTGCTGAACCCGGCTCGTGACCTGTGATTTTCGTCTGCTGTCCTGTACTGTTTTGTCCTGTTGTTGTTGACCCGGCTTGTCTGACTACTCTTTTGTCTCTTCCACCAGCTACACGCCATTGGCGGCGGCCATTACCGCAGCTGAGGTGTCTCGGGGGGCCGCGACCTGGTTCTTGGCTGCGTCAAGTCCATCCCCACCATCAGGGGCCCTGGTGAAGGGCAGCCTGGGACTTAGACTCCGCGCCCTGGGGGACTTCGGTCTGTGGGTAGTGGTTGTCGTCAGCCAGTGCGTTTACATTGTTAGGCCTGCCTGTCCGTTCCTCGGCTCCTGCCCTGACATTACACAAGTGCCATGAACCCTGACGGTGCAGGCACGCCTTCGCTCCCAATGCTAGTCGCCAGACTCGATCAACAGGATCAAATGTTGGATCAATTCGCTCAGGCGTTGCAAACTCTGCTTGCACGCACTGCACACCTTGCTCCTGGTGCTATCAGGCCGGTAGTCACTCCGGTGGTCTTTCCCGCAGCTTCTCCGCCTATTGCGTCCACCACCTCGACGGCTGTATCAGCGGCGCCCAGAGGTATGACTGGTTCAGCCCCTCTTCCACAGCGCTTTGGGGGTGAGCCTAGTCAGTGTCGTGGGTTCCTCAACCAGGTGGGTATTTATTTTGAATTAATACCCCACGCCTTTCCGTCTGAGAGGTCAAAGGTGGGGTTCCTAATTTCCCTACTCTCAGACAAGGCCTTGGCCTGGGCGAATCCCTTATGGGAGAGGAACGACTCGGTGATTCAAGATTTTTCCGGTTTTGTCGATGCTTTCCGTAGGGTATTCGACGTACCGGCTCGTTTCGCCTCGGCGGCCAAACTGCTCATGACCATGCATCAGGGTTCACGGACCGTGGCCGAGTACGCCAAAGAGTTTCGTACCCTGGCGGCAGAGAGGTCGGTTGGAACAATGAGGCTCTGGTGGCTGCGTTTTCATATGGTCTTTCTGACACATTGAAGGACGAGATTGCAGCTAAGGAACTTGCCTGTGGTGTTGGAGGAGCTCATCTCTTTCCTGATCCTGATTGACACCCAGGCTCAGGGAGAGGCCTTCACTCAGGGAACGCCTGCGGAGGCCTTCCAATCGACTGGCACCTGCGTTTTCTGTCCCACCCGTTCCTCCCTCTCTCTCCCACGCCTCCTGGGATAGCTTGTCTGGTGGGAACCCATGCAGCTGGGGTTTGCTCGCCTTTCCGAGGGGGAGCGGGCCGCTCGGCGTCGGGAGGGTCGCTGCCTGTACTGTGGCCTCGGTGGGCACTTTTTGCCAGTCTTGTCCGGTCCGTCCGGGAAACGCTCGCACCGCACCTGAGATCATGTCGGGGACAGATCTTGGGTGGAGTTTCCTCGTCCCCGGCGTTCCGCAAGGATAAGCCACTGATCACCGTGGTCCCCCCTTTCTTGGACGGAGGGCTCGGTGACGGCCCAGGCGTTGGTAGACTCTGGGGCCAGTGGGTTGTTCTTGGACAGCTCGTTTGCTGCCACAGCACTCCATTCCCCTGCAGGTTCGCGCTACCCCATTGGTTTCTCGAAGCCATAGATGGCAGGCCCCTGCAGCCCGCCGCAGGTTACCCACGAGACTCTGCCGATAGAGGTAGCCATTGGGGCTGTTCACAGGAGTTGGCCTGTTTTCAGGTGATTTCTTCCCCACACTATTCGGTTGGTTTTGGGGTATCCCTGGCTCCAGAGGCACAATCCAACCTTCAATTGGCAAACAGGCCCGAGATTCTCTCATGGTCTCCACAGTGTGGGGCCGGGTGCATCCGGGGGCCGGTTAAGGTATTGTGTGCCTCCTCGGACTCTGCGTTGCCCACCGACTATGGGGAGTACCGGGACGTGTTTGATTAAGGTACGCGCATGGTACCTTACCGCCGCATCGTCCTTACGACTGCGCCATATCCTTGCAACTCGGGGCCACTCCTCCGCGTGGCATGGTGTACCCTCTCTCGGTTGCGGAGAATAAGGCCATGGAGGAGTACGTTGTGGATGCGCTTTCCGGGGGCACATTCGTAAGTCTACTTCTCCAGCAGGAGCAGGTTAGTTTTTTTTTCGTAAAGAAGAAAGGTGGGGAATTGAGGCCCTGCATCGATTATAGGGGTCTCAATCGGATTACCATTAAAAATGCATATCCGATTCCCTTTGATTTCTGAGTTGTTTGACCGCCTTAAGGGAGCAACAGTCTTTACCAAACTCGACCTTAGGCTCGGCGTACAACCTCGTACGGATCAGACAGGGGGATGAGTGGAAGACCCGCGTTTAACACCAGAACCGGGCACTACGAATACATGGTGATGCCCTTCGGGTTGTGTAATGCTCCCGCGGTTTTTCAGGAATTCATAAACGATGGTTGTCCTTCTGATTTGTTGCAGCAGTGCGTAGTGGTTTACCTGGATGACATCTTGGTTTTACTCTACCTCCCATGGAGTCTCATGTCCAGGATGTCAAGCAGGTGCTGCAACGATTGCGTGAGAACGGACTCTTTTGTAAACTCGAGAAGTGCGAGTTCCATCGATCCCAAGTTGCCTTTTTGGGCTACATAATTTCCGCGGAGGGATTTTCCATGGACCCTCAGAAGGTTGCTGCAGTTCTGCAGTGGCCTCGTCCCAATGGTCTTCGGCCCATTCAGCGCTTTCTGGGTTTTGCCAACTACTATTGGAAGTTCATCAGGAACTTCTCCACAATGGCAAAGCCTCTCTCTGACCTAACCAGGAAGGGGAGTAACCCTCACGAGTGGGCCATCCGAGGCCATCATAGCTTTCGAGGCTCTGAAAGCCGCCTTTTTGCTTCGGCTCCGATTCTTTCACATCCCAATCCTGGGTTGCCCTTCGTCCTTGAGGTTGATGCTTCCGAGACGGGAGTAGGGGCTCTCCTGTCCCAGCGTCGGTCGCCCGATGGACCCCTACTTCCCTGCGGGTTCTACTCCAGGAAGCTTTCCTCTGCAGAGTGCAACTACCAGATTGGAGATCGGGAGTTGTTGGTCATCATCCTGGCTCTCTAGGAGTGGAGGCACCTGCTCGAGGGTTCCGCGGTTCCGGTCCTCATTCTTACCGATCACAAGAACCTGACTTATCTTTCGGAGGCCAAGAGATTGACACCCCGCCAGGCCAGATGGGCTCTGTTCTTGTCACGCTTCAACTATGTGGTTTCATATTTGCCTGGTTCCAAGAATGTCAGGGCTGATGCGTTATCACGGCAATACTCTGAGTTGTCCAGGAGGACTCTGAGCCAATCTCACTTATACCTCCAGATCAGATCCTGGCTGCCATTCGCACCAGTCTGACCTCTCCTCTTGGGGAGCAGATTTTTGGGCGGCTCAAACTGATGCTCCTCCCGGGAAGCCGGAGGGTAGATGTTTTCGTACCCGAGGGATTGCGCACCCGCCTGCTGTGTACCTACCATAACGCCAAAACTGCCGGGCATCCGGGGAAGAACCAGCTGTGTTGGGTCGTCTCTCGCTTATTCTGGTGGCCAACCCTCCGTGCCGACATTGCCTCTTATGTAGCGGCATGTTCAATCTGTGCCCAGAATAAGTCTCCACGGCATCTCCCTTTGGTCTTCTACAACCCATTCCCAATGGGGAGCGTCCTTGGTCACATCTAGGTATGGACTTTATTGTAGACCTCCCAGTGTCTCGGGGTCATACGGTCATCCTCATGATCGTCGATCGGTTTTCCAAGATGTGCCATTGCATTCCACTCAGGAAATTACCCACAGCGCAAGAACTGGCCACGGTCTTTTCCAGGGAGATTTTTCGCCTGCATGGGTTGCCCAAGGTGATTGTCTCGGACCCGCGGGATTCAGTTCGTGCCCAGATTCTGGTGCGCCTTCTGCTCCCAGTTGGGTATTAGTCTCTCCTTTTCTTTAGCCTACCACACCCGCAGTCCAATGGGGCTGCGGAACGTTCCAATCAGGCCTTAGAACAATTCCTTCGGTGTTATATTTCAGACCATCAGGACGATTGGGCCGATCTCCTGCCTTGGCAGAGTTTGCCAGGAACTCGGCGGTCAACTCCTCCTCCGGGATGTCTCCTTTCATGGGCCAACTATGGGTTCCAACCCGCGGTATTACCTGAGAGGTTCTCACCACAGGACATTCCGGCTGTGGAGAACCATCTTGCAGCCCTGCGTTCTTCATGGGGCAGATCCAGAGGTCCTTGAGGGGACTCAGCTCAGCGCCAGAAGTTCCCAGGCATCTCGCAGACGGTTGCCCGCTCCTTCATACCAGTCGTCGGCGATCCTGTGTGGGGTTGTCTACTCGCAACCTCAATCTTTCGGGTGCCCACACCCAAACTAGCTTCCCCGTTTTGTCGGTCCTTTCCGCATTCTCCGCAAAGTGAATCCGGTGGCGCTATGCCCCTTGCCCCTTCCGTCTGGGATGCGGATCTCCAATATCTTTCATGTTTCCCTGTTGAAAACCTCTGATCTGCAATCGCTTCACTACTCCTCTCACTGCCTCGGCCCCCGTCCTGTCCGGGTTGCATGGTCATGATGAGTATGAGGTGAGCCCGGATATCCTAGACTCTCGATTGGTGCGAGGTCGATTACAGTTTCCTGGTTCATTGGCAACGGTTATGGTCCCGAGGAGCGTTCCTGGGTTCCTTCCGCGGATTTCCATGCTCTCTGCCCTCCTCCGCGCTTTCATTACCCGCTTTCCTCCAGAAACCTTTTGTTGAGCCGCGGAGGGGGAGGGGCCCTTGAGGAGGAGGTACTGTCAACCAAGGTCCTACCTTTTCCCTGAGGTTATGTTTACTCCATGTGCTGGCGTCCATCTTGGATTCTGCTGTGCATGATGGGAATCCTTTTATGCCTTCAGGTCTCTGTGGTCCATCCCCCAGTGGGGTGTGGCTGATGACATATAAGCCTGTGGCCCGCACATGCTCTTTGCACTTGTGTCTTGTGTCTTTGTGTTGCTATTATTACTCTGTTCTGACTCTCGTGACTCTCCTGGTATCTGATTCGGCTTGTGACTTGACCTATTCTTTGTATTCTCCCTTGATCTGACCCTCTGTTGCTGAACCCGGCTCGTGACCTGTGATTTTCGTCTGCTGTCCTGTACTGTTTTGTCCTGTTTTTGTTGACCCGGCTTGTCTGACTACTCTTTTGTCTCTTCCACCAGCTACATGCCATTGGCGGCGGCCCATTACCGCAGCTGAGGTGTCTCGGGGGCCGCGACCTGGTATCTTGGCTGCGTCAAGTCCATCCCCACCATCAGGGGCCCCTGGTGAAGGGCAGCCTGGGACTTAGACTCCGCGCCCTGGGGGACTTCCGGTCTGTGGGTAGTGGTTGTCGTCAGCCAGTGCGTTACATTGTTAGGCCTGCCTGTCCGTTCCTCGGCTACCTGCCCTGACAAAGCTGTCACAGCGGGTACCCACACCAAAGATGGCCAGCACCTGGAATACAGGACGGCCGGTTGAAACGGGCTGCGGCGGGGGCAACCGCGGTGATCGTGGGACAGGTTGAGTGGCTGTTTTTTAAAAGTCAGCAGCTACAGTTTTTGTAGCTGCTGACTTTTATTTTTTTACAAGAGTGAGTGGAATTCCACTTTAAGATTTTGAATACCTGCAAACAGCCATCTGTCACTAATGGCCATGTATGCTTATATTTAGCACTTGATCCAATATTAGGACCAGGTAAGGCTGTATTAGAAATCTCGGAGTAGAGGCAACATTTATGAATTCCCCACACATTATTGACTACTATGGTTTCCCCCCTCAGCACTGGTGAGACTGCAAGACATGAATGGAGTGTGTGCCCAGTTCTCCCAGTTTATACAGCCTGTATGTTTACCAAAGAACACCATGACAGCTACATCTGCACAACATTGTGAAGTGGTTGGCTGGGGTCATCAGTACTCTGGTAAGTAAGTAAATAACTGAAATATGTGGCCATCAATAGGAGACAATAAGGTATTAGGAGGCGTCCACTATTCTTTATAGTTTCACTAATATTTTTGTATTCACAGGGGCTGATCATTATGCCTTATATATCTGCAAGAAGCACACGTGCCCATCCTTTCCACTATACAATGCCAATCTCCTCTTTCCCATGGTAGTAGGATAATGGCTGGTATGATGTGTGCTGGCATCATGGAAGGAGGTGTTGATGCATGTCAAGTAAGTTAAAAATAGTGTATAGTCTTTTGTTTTCAGATATACATTTAACACTAAGATTGCCTATATGCGACTTTTGCAGTTGGACAGCAAGCTCCATCTTTTTGTCATAATACCAAAGCAGTGGATGTATCTGACTGGATGCAGCTGCTGGTTAGTTTAACAATTTTCTGCCTGCTCCTCTGATTGTCGGAAAGGAGACAGCTGACAGGGCCACCCACTAAGTTAATTTGATCTGGTTCAAAATTTGTATACTGTATGGCCAGTTTAATTTATAGTAACCTTGTTTTATATGGACAGTTTTGCAATTATTTATCTGTAGGTCAGCATATATATGAGTCTTCAAAAAATATATTTTAAGGTATAAAACCCTCGAAAACAAACTGCGCTGTGAATGTATAAGTGAAAAATCAAAAAATCAAAAAAGTGTACACATATCTGAAAACATGCTGCCACATTGAACTAATACAGAAAATAACATAATAATATTCTATAAAAATATAAAATATTAATGCAACGCTAATACTCAAATAAATAAAATATATAAATGCATGTTCAAGTCCAAATAATTCAGTCCATTTTTGTGATCACCACATGAAATTAATTAATAATTAGAGATGAGCGAATCGAACATGACGAAGTGGAATTCGTTCCGAAGATTTGGAAAAATTCTATTTGCGACGAATCCGAAGATTAGCAAACTTCGGATGCACGAATCGAATTTTCCCAAAAATGGCGGCGACATGTGTGGCGACGGAGAAAATGGACAGAGAAGATGGGGCGGGGATCTCTGGGAAGGCGCGCAGACAAGGCGCGCTGACCCATAATGCATTCATGACATGTGTTCGCATTAGCCAATCAGCAGCCAGCCAGCAGCCAGCCAGCCACTGTGTAATGGTGGAGCTATAAATCGTGGCCATCTTAGAATTCTCCTTTAGCCTCCGGTCATTCAAGAGAGACAGACCTGTGTGTATTAAGGGACAGAGTTAGGGCCACAGAGACTTTAGGGCCACAGAATCGTTACTCAGGGACACAGAATCGTTACTCAGGGACACAGTGTTCAGTGTTGTGCGCATTAAGCCAGACACCAAAGGCAGCACAGACCTGTTATTACTCGCTCAAGCATGGCTGAACAAAACCAGTCTCTACCACAAATTGGACCCAGACCTGTCCAGGGTCTCGTAACTAGATTGCAACGGAGGAGTAGAGTCCGTTATCGGAATTAAATAGACAAAACGCCACACCAAAAAAAGAGTGGCCATTTCCAACACTTATTCCAGAAAGAGGAACAACCCGTTTCATATACGGCCCGTAGACGTTTCACGTCTGCCACATTCAGTCGATTTAAGACGCAAGCTCCACTTCCTGTGGTCTCTGACCGTCGATATACCTTTAAGTGTCAGCTTTGAAGCTATATTCCATCCGGAGCACTGACACTGGTGCCCTTCCGTCAACATGCCTTTAAGTTTCAGTTTTCAACCATATTCCCCACAGAAGCCAAAAACTCTTGGGTATCCCAGAAGCTGCTCAGCGGGTCAGGGCAATAAAGCTCCCGGTTCGCAGGTTGTTCCGTCTTATGGATGGAAGTACGACGGTATAAATGATCTTCTTCGCACCCACGGCATTACCTCATAAAATTTCTGCATTGCATCTGCAATCACAACGCTGACTTCCCGGATCGCCACTCAGCCATTGGACTCTTGATAGTCGTCTCCCACACTGCTGCTGGGGGGGACTTTTTAACCTAGGCCTGTGTATGGCCTTCAATTGAAGCTGCTTCCGCTCCGCCACTCTGCCATTGGACTCTTGATAGTCCGTCTCCCCACGCTGCTGCTGGGGGGACTTTTTAACATAGGCCTCTGTATGGCCTTTAATTGAAGCTGCTTACGCTCCGCCACTCTGCCATGGGCCTCTTGGGTATCCCAGAAGCTGCTCAGCGGGTCAGGGGCAATAAAGCTCCCAGTTCGCAGGGTTGTTCCGTCTTATGGATGGAAGTACGACGGTATATGATCTTCTTCGCACCCACGGCATCACCTCATAGAATCTCTGCATTGCATCTGCAATCACAACGCTGACTTCCCGGATCGCCACTCAGCCATTGGACTCTTGATAGTCGTCTCCCCACACTGCTGCTGGGGGGACTTTTTAACCTAGGCCTGTGTATGGCCTGCAATTGAAGCTGCTTCTGCTCCGCCACTCTGCCATTGGACTCTTGATAGTCATCTCCCCACACTGCTGCTGCTGGGGGGACTTTTTAACATAGGCCTCTCTATGGCCTTCAATTTAAGCTGCTTACGCTTCACCACTCTGCCATGGGCCCCTGTACCGCCTCCTCTTGCTGCTGCCAGGTCCAGAGTGTGTCATGGGTCCCTGTACGGCCTCCCATTGCTGCTGACTTCATCGCCAGACTCTGCCATGTGCCACTTTCAGGTCTCCTTACACTGTTGGTGGGTTCCATTTTGTGATAGGGTGCTGTATGGCCTTTCCATTGCTGCTGCCTCCACCGCCACCCTGCGCCATGTGCCTCTGTCGTCTGCTCACGCTGCTGACGGCTTCCGCTTTTTAACCGAGGCCTGTGTTTGGCTTCCGAATACTGCTGCATCCACCGCCACCCTGCGCCATGTGTCTCTGTCGTCTGCTCACGCTGCTGACGGCTTCCGCTTTTTAACCTAGGCCTGTGTATGGCTTCAGAATAATGCTGCCTACACCGCCACCCTGCGCCATGTGCCTCTGTCGTCTGCTCACGCTGCTGCCAGGTCCATACTGATTCATGGTCCCCTGTACCGGCTCCTCATGAACGTGGTTCAGCGGGTTTTGCATCACTTAACGGCAAATCGTTGACAAACGCTGGGACGTTCAGTGTTGTGTGCGCATTAGCCAGACACCAAAGGGCAGCACAGACCTGTTATTACTCGCTCAAGCATGGCTGAACAAAACCAGTCTCTACCACAAATTGGACCCAGACCTGCCCAGGGTCTCGTAAGTAGATTGCACGGAGGAGTAGAGTTCGTTATTGGAATTAACTGTGAGGGACTTTTAAACCTAGGCTGTGTATGGCCTTCAATTGAAGCTGCTTCTGCTCCGCCACTCTGCCATTGGACTCTTGATAGTCGTCTCCCCACGCTGCTGCTGGGGGGACTTTTTAACATAGGCCTCTGTATGGCCTTCAATTTTAGCTGCTTACGCTCCGCCACTCTGCCATGGGCCCCTGTACCGCCTCCTCATGCTGCTGCCAGGCCCGTAATCTGCCATGGGCCCCCGTACCGACTCCTCATGCTGCTGCCAGGCCCGTAATCTGTCATGGGCCCCTGTACCACCCGCCTCCTCATGCTGCTGCCAGGTCCAGAGTGTGTCATGGGTCCCCTGTACGGCCCTCCCATTGCTGCTGTCTCCATCGCCACACTCTGCCATGTGCCACTTTCAGGTCTCCTCACACTGCTGGTGGGTTCCATTTTGTCATAGGGTGCTGTATGGCCTCCTCCATTGCTGCTGCCTCCACCGCCACACTGTGGCTCCACACTCTGGTTTTGGCCCCGTGATTGCCCAAATGAGTGAAGTGTGCGGTGATTCTAAGATCGACGGCACTCATCTGCATGTCATACTGACTGACAGTATTATTTCTCTTCCCCAGCAGACTCTCCAAGGGCATTTAAATTAAAAGGTACAGTGTTTCTGCACTAATATAAAGGCTCTCTGAAGCCTAGAAACACCCTTTTTATAAGTTAAATTCGCAGCGAATATATTCGGCTCGAAGCGAATTTATTCCGCGAATTCGGCGAATCAGCCGAACCGAATTTTTGAATAATTCGCATCATCTCTATTCATAATCATATTCATATTCCAATAATCACCACGTGAATATTAGTGTGAAACAATCTGAAGGTGTGCCATGCTCCCCCTCTCAAGTATGCACTCACCAAACATATTTGCCTTCCATTCTCATGGTTGGCATTTTCAGCTTTTGGATATATGATTCTCCAAGGAATAGACTCCTTTCAAAACACAGAATGGATTCCTCCAATGATGACTCAGAATCTGCAAGATATATATTAATGGTCTTTGGTTTTGAGTTGAATTGAGTCCAATTTGCTTGCAAAATCCAATGTGACTTATCAGAGCCACTGGCTTTCAGAAATGTGACTATCCTCCAGTACTCTTAGTTGTTTCAATGTCAAAGGAGAGCCCAAAGCTGCAAATGAAGCCCTACGCCATTATGATGGTGCAGAAACTGCCTTTTGTGGTGTGCACCACATTAACTAAGCAGATAGACCTAAAACAGGATTATCTGAGCCACTCATACCAGTTTATGTTTCAGAGTGAACTAGAAAACTGTTACAGGGTCTGCTCCTAATTGCAAAGGGATTTCAGCATATTGCATATAGAAAACTGACACAGATCCCCACTAGGTTGGGCCTAGCCTACAGGATGTGAGCTGTCGACAGACAGACATTCTCCATTCATACGGGCAGAACATGAGTAGTCCTTCTCAGATAAGCAAGGGGGTGACAGACAGAGGAATACAGAGCGTGCAGCTCCAGCTGTACTGTTCTGTGCTGTGTCTGTCATAGACACAGCATGGAATAGAGAACTGATTGCTCCTAATTAACAAAGAGGATTGTACGGCTTTTGATAATCAGGAGTAGCATCTGCTTTGCTTCTAAAGTTTAGCATTACGCTTGCACCACTCTTTGTTCATTTCCCACATTTTGTCCTTCTTGAAAAAATCTTTTTACCTGCCTGTTTGCAAACTTGTTCAGTGTACATTCTCAGAATGCCTTGTTGCTAAAGTTGCTGAATCTGCCTGTTAATTTGATCTGGTTCAAAATTTGTATAGTGTATGGCCAGGTTTATATTTAAAGTAACCTTGTTTATATGGACAGTTTGCAATCATTTACCTGTAGGTCAGAATATATATGAGTCTGCTGACTTAAGGTGCCTACAAACTTCAACCTTTTACTATGGGATTGGGGAATGCATGTATGTTTATAGCCTTCAATGCCAATCACAGCATTAGTATGAGTTCAGTGTATATTCTCGGAATGCCTTGTTGCTAAAGTTGCTCAACCTGGAAGAAGACTGGGTAAAAATGTCAGTGCCGGGAAGGGAGCTTGTAGATGTTGCATCACTGAAGTTGAGGTGAGTATAGGTAAACTTTAGTTACATACATGTGTGTGTATACGTGTATACAGTGCCTTGTATTCCTACCCCTTGAAATTTTCCACATTTTGCCATGTTACAACCAAAAATGTAAATGTATTCTATTGGGATTTGTTGTGATAGACCAACACAAAGTGGCACATAATTGTGAAGTGGAAGGAAAATGATAAATGGTTTTTAAAAATGTTTTACAAATAAATATCTGAAAAGTGTGGTGTGCATTTGTATTCAGCCCCTTTACTCTGATACCTCTAACTAAAATTTAGTTTAACCAGTTGCCTTCAGAAGTCACCTAATTAGTAAATAGAGTCCACCTGTGTGTAATGTAATCTCAGTAGAAATACAGCTGTTCTGTGATGCCCCCAGAGGTTTGTTACAGAACATTAGTGAACAAACAGCATCATAAAGGCCAAGGAACATACCAGACAGGTCAGGGATAAAGTTGTGGAGAAGTTTAAAGCAGGTTTATAAAAAAATATCCCAAGCCTTGAACATCTCACTGAGCACTGTTCAATCCATCATCCAAAAATGGAACGAGAATGGCACAACTACAACCTTCATGGCTGTCCACCTAAACTAACAGGCCGGGAAAGGAGAACATTCAATCAGGGAAGAAGCCCAGAGGTCCATGGTAACTCTGGAGGAGCTGCAGAGATCCACAGCTCAGGTGGGAGAATCTGTCCACAGAACAACTATTAGTTGTGCACTCTGCAAATCTGAGCTTTATGGAAGAGTGGCAAGAAAAAAGCCATTGTTGAAAGAAAGCCATAAGAAGTCCCGCTAGCAGTTTTTGAGAAGAAACAGCAGACATGTGGAAGAAGGTGCTCTGGTTAGATGAGACCAAAATTGAACTTTTTGGCCTAAAGGCAAAATGCTACATGTGACAGAAAACTAACACTGCAGATCATCCTGAACACAACATCACCACCGTGAAACATGGTGGTGGCAGCATCATGTCATGGAGATGCTTTTCTTCAGCAGTGAAGCTGAGACTGGGGCAAAGGTTCACTTTCCAGCAAGACAACAACCCTAAACATACAGCCAGAGCTACAATGGAATAGTTTAGATCAAAGCATATTCATGTGTTAGAATGGCTCAGTCAAAGTCCAGACCTAAATCCAATTGAGAATCTGTGGCAAGACTTGCAAATTGCTGTTCACAAACGCTCTTCATCCAACCTGACTGAGCTTGAGCTGTTCTGCAAAGAAGAATGGGCAAAAATGTCACTCTCTAGATGTGCAAAGCTGGTAGAGACATCCCCAAAAAGACTTGCAACTGTAATTGCAGCGAAAGGTGGTTCTACAAAGTATTAACACAGAGGGCTGAATACAAATACACACCACACTTTTCACATATTTATTTGTAAGAAATTTGGAAAAACCATTTATCATTTTCCTTCCACTTCACAATTATGTGCCACTTTGTGTTTGTCTATCACATAAAATCCCAATAAAATACATTTATGTTTTTGGTTGTAACATGACAAAATGTGGAACATTTCAAGAGGTATGGATACTTTTTCAAGGCACTGTATTTCCTGGGGTCAGGGCCATAAGTATTGGGCACCTACCACCCTGGACTGTGGGCTGGGCATGTGCACCCTCATACAGGCATGCCACCTGCGTGACTCAGGTATGTTGGTGCCCTGTTGGTGTCCTGGTACCTCCACCCATGATGAATGGAATGACACCATGAATTATTAATGGATGCAGGGTGAGGCGAGGAGCAGCAAAGCAGCAGAAGGGGGGGGGGGGTGTAGGGAGCCCCGACACAGAGGGATCCTGGCACTGCAGGAGGAGGGGCACAACTAATGGTACTTACAGGCAGAAAGCAAACCGCCCGGGTGCTGCAGCTGTTATTCCTCCGGGGAGCACCTATAACTAGGCTGTCAGGATGTCTGGGAGCTGGCTTATACCCTGTGTGGCTCTCGTCGGCAGAAGCTCTGCTGTAAGAGATGGAGCTGGAACTTTAGCAGGTGAGACTGGGTGCGGGGAGGGATGCTGGGCTGTGTCTGAATGGGACTCGGGCTGCCGGTAATCACTGAGTAGAAACATGCCACTATTGGTCACTGGCTCTGTCTGCGGTTGGAGGATGAGCTGACAGTGACAGCACACCTGGGGGAGGGGCCAGAGAGGGAGGATCCACAGAGCCAAGACCTGGCCACTCTTATTGTACAATACATGGTGAGAGAATGCCTACCCTGTAATATCACGCAGCTGGAGGACCCGAACATGCCCAGGACTGTCCGCTGGGTCATCTCATCATTGCCACTGGAGGTGGATCAGCGCCAACCGATAAATGATCTGTGTCATGACAATTTCTAGTGGTCGCAGCGGCGCCCTAGGCAGCAGTGTGCCCTAGGTGGCTGCCTAGTTCGCTTAGCAGTAGCACCGGCCCTGCTTGAACCACACATACACAATTCAGTGTAAAATACAGAGGCCAAAATAAAGCTGAGTAGGGGAGCATGTCAGCACGAGGCAAAAAGAAATAGCAGGACATTGATCTTCCCAGTGAAGAGATGTACAGGGAGTGTGTCAGCAGAAGTCCCCAGGCAGGTTGTGCTCCCAAGGAGAATGCAAAGAAGAAAAACTGACCACACTGGGATATGTGATCTTCAGTGCCTAGTGTGGTCAGTTTGAAATAGGGAAGCAGGTGGACTGGCAGGATCACCAGGTATTTCACACAAAGAAAGCAATGCAAAGAGAACAAAATACTTTGTAATGCAGACACATCAAAAAAATAAGAACACACTTCAATGTGTGAACGCTTTTACACACAGTGTAAAGTGGAGTATAATATGCTGGAGCAGAAAAAATGATTCAGTTCCACAATTTCCTATTTCTATATTGATTCTCTGCAGGGAGACTCGGGAGGACCCCTTGTGTGTGAAGTGGACAGCAGAGTGCAGCTATTTGGCGTTGTCAGCTGGGGATCTGGCTGTGCAGAGGAGAATAAGCCTGGTGTCTACACGGATGTCTCCAAATACACCGAATGGATCTTAACTAACATTAATTAGGCTTTTCTGGGACAGTGATGACATGCTAGAAATTGCTTGATAAAAAGCAAA